GAGGTGTTCTTCTCCTTAAATGGAAAATTATTTCTCGAGAAATTTTTTTCCATGAAAATCCCACTAAATGAACTCTAATGAATTTTCTATTACATTCAAACAACAGTTGAAAAAGGAATATGATTTATATTATTGTGGAGGCGGACAAGCCCGAGTAGTATTCCTTCATTTATAATCATTGAAGGAGTCGACTTAGATTAAAATATAATTTATGTTTGAAAAAACATGCATGTTACATATCAAGCATAAAGATTTATTTTTTGTTCACATCGTGATTGGTTTACTCTAAATACTAGCATTATAGTTCTCAACCTTCTTTTTGGAAAACAAATAGATGACGCAGATATTGTACTCTTTCCACAACGTGCTACAAACAAGAAAGTACAATATAGGGGGCCAGGCCAGGGACTGGCCTAAAAACAGAATGCAGAATTCTTAATTGATTTCCTATAAAAATGAATCATAGAGGCATCATCTAAACTACAAGCTAGCTATCTTTTAAAAGCATAACTGAAACATGTTGTAGACAGTTGTTGAAACCAAATAAAAAAGTTTTTATTCAGCAAAATGACATTTAAATGTACTCGACTTTGAAGCAGGCGTCTATTCTCCATTTAGTTGTTCTGAAAACATAGAGTCCTCAAAATAGAAGATAAAGAAAACGAAGTTTGAACGGTCAAAAGGCAAATGATATTTGACACGAGCGCATTTGAGCCAGCACATGAATTTGCGTTGTTTTTAAGACGTTGGTGTATGAAGGTTAGAGATATACCCGCGCGTTTGAGGCAATCGGTGATCTCAATGGTGTATAAACTGTGCATTGATATGCTTTTTTAGCCCGATTAACGCCTGTATTTTTCCGAGAATTCTTTCGTACAAATCGGTGAGTTTTTTTTATTTTCAAATTAAGATCGAGGAGCAGGGTCTTCTCTGATCACGCTGGTATGAAAAATATTTCAGGTGAAGTTTCCATATTTTGGCTGTGAACTAACTAAAATTTACACTTTCGATCGCTGTCCACACCGGTGATCTAGCCAAAAATCATTTCCGGCTTGTCGCGACGCAAAAAAAAGTGAACTGGAGAACAACTAAACTATTTTTATAACATGTGTCCTAAAACCCTTTTCATGGGCAAAAAAAAAAAAAATCAAAGAAAACTTTTTTTTGAAGGGAAGTCGAGACGACCGCTCTTAGCGAGAGCGGCACTTAATAGACTGAAAGCCGACTCTTGTTGAAAACTTTGAATTATTGATCAGTAAGAAGTATATAAATAACTTTAATCAGGATTCAGTTTAAAACGCTTTACGTACCATGAGAAGTATGCAGTAGAAAAACTATTTCCCTAGTGCATGGAAATAGTTCCTTGAAAGTTAGAGTCCAAACCGCATTTCGAAGTCGAACTTACATGCTTTCTTCATCAGGCTACCGAAATTTGAAAAGCTCCCTGCTATTTGAATTAAGCAATTTTATAACAAATTGAAAGGAACTTGCCAATTTTGATCGTCTCCACACTGTGCGTAGTTCATGACCAGATGTTTCAACGAAAATTATCTAGAAAACGCCTTTCGATCACCTTTGTTTACTTTGTAAGTCACGCAAGCGCGCAAGCGTTACGACCTATCTCGTTTACGCAACGTTTAGGACAACTCGGCATCTATTCTCCATTTAGTTGTTATGAAAACCTAAAACCCTCAACGTAGAAGATAAAGAAAACGAAGTTTGAACGGTCGAAAGGAAATCCTGGTCAATTTTCTTAATGAACATAGAGAGGAAGCCTACTCTTGATGAAAACTTAGGATTATTGATCAGTAAGAAGTATATTAATATCTTTAATCAGGTTTCAGTCTAAAACACTTTACGTACCATGAGAGGAATGCGCTAGAAAAACTATTTTCACCGGTGCATGGAAATAGTTCCTTGAAAGTTCAGAGAGTCCAAACTGTATTTTGAAGTCGAAGTTATATGCTATCTTCACCAGGCCACCGAAATTTGATCAGTTCCCTGGTATTTGAATTAAGCAATTTTATAACAAATTGAGAGGAACTTGCCAAAGTGTAAAACGATATGGTAAAATTGTATGGGTTAGTTATTATTTTTTCGGTAACAGATCATACATCAATTGAAAACCTGTCGTAAATTTATGCACATCTAGACTGAAATTTGTCTATATCATTTAATTAGCATATACAGGAAGCCTACTCCTGTTTAAAACTTTGAATTATTGATCAGAAAGAAGAATATCAATATTTTAATTCAGGAGTCACTCTAATACGCTTTAAGTACCATGCATGAGAAGCATGCGGTAGAACAACCAGAATTTTCTCTAGTACATGGAAATATTTCCTTGAAAGTTTAAGGAATCCAAACTGAATTGGAAGTCGAAGTTATATGCTATCTTCACCAGGCCACCGAAATCTGATTAGTTCTCCAGCATTTGAATTAAACAATTTTATAACAAAGTATGAAGAACTTGCATGAGCGTGAAACGATATGGTAAAATCCTAAGGGCTAATTATTATTTGTTGTAAAAGATCACATATCAATTGATGAGATATCGTTTACTTAGGACTGAAATTTGTCTTTATCATTAAATTAGCAAGAAGCCTCACTGAAAACTTTGAATTATTGATCGGTAAGAAGTATATCAATTTTTTTTATCTCCTTCATGCAGTTTTCAAGCTTTTACATTTCGATATCTCATATCTAAAACAGTCGAATCATATTACACCAAGGTAATTTGGTGTTATCGCCTGATTTTAAAACGTAAATTGGCCACCGTAAAGAGTTTAAAAGTTGACGTTTCGAGTGTTGGCCCTTCGTCCATCGCTCTGACGAAGGGCTAACGCTCTTATATTTATATATATTTGGTCTGAAATTTGTCTTTACCATTTAATTAGCAGGAAGCCTCACTGAAAACTTTGAATTATTGATCAGTAAGAAGTGTATTAAGTTTTTTTTATCTCCTTCATTCAGTTTTCAAGTGTTTACATTTCGATATCTCATATCTAAAACAGTCGAATCATATTACGCTTAGGTAATTTAGTGTTATCGACTGATTTTAAAACGTAAATTGGCCACCGTAAAGAGTTTAAAGGCTGACCTTTCGAGCGTAAAGTTGTTAATCATCTCATGATAGGACTCCGCCTGTGATGAACAAGTTAATGTGTGTCTTGATAACAATTTTAAGCATTTCACCCAAGACACAAGCTAAAACCTTTTCCCAATCCGGTATTTTCGAGGAAAAAAATGATCTTTACTGCATTCTGAATTAGGTGTGAAAGAATGCCATGGGGATAAGAAGGAGATGGCAGCTTTTAGCGTAACATTACCAAAAATGAACCGAAAATATAGTTCATCTGAAAGCTTGGAATGTTATTCCAGCAAAAATATCCAGTTTACTAAATAACTAGTAACATGATAATAATTATATCACCTTGGTCTGCAACAGCCCGGCAATGAAACCATGATGAGAATAGAAAAGACGCAAAACCAAAGGGAAGCATCGTGAAAAGGAAGCATTGATCTTTCAAATACATCATATACAACTGAAATATATACAGCGGCAGACTGTACGTTAACTGCTGACGATTTTAGGATGTTGCACGACTAGAGATCAAGGTTGTGGTTTGTTTCTATAACGCAAAGCAGTAAAATTTTAATGTTATTTGGCTTTTTCAGCATTATAAATTATTTAAAGCGTGGTTGTCTATGCCGCCTAGGATAGATCAGTTAACAACCCACGCTCACGATTTTGAAATGTGATTGTTTGGCATATGCTTTTTTTCGTTCGAGAAACATTCAGGCGCAATTCCCAACATCTTTCATGTTAATTATCTGGTTTCTCTTCCAAATAACCAGTTCTAGAGGTAGTTAACACCAAAAAAGATTACATGGATTCGTTATTTTCTGCGATATTACCCGTTTATACCAATGGAATGAGACGAGGTGTTCTCCTGAAATAGAAAATTAAAACAAGCTTGTTTATTGGCAGAAAATGCTATAGAGACGTAGCATTTGTGCGTTTTGTTGTTAATATCCGACGTTTGATATGTATTGTTATAAAACAAACAGATAAGGGGCAGTATTGGTCCTGCAGGTATCGATTTAGCGGGTGAAATGTAAACCTTGATTTCATTTTTAACTTTTCCCATGTTTCAAATGCAAGTGTTTTCTGTTTTTTCCTCTTCTTTTTGTAGTCTCTTGTTTGTTCATAAGACTTTACACGTAATTACTCTAGATCTAGTAATTTTGCATACCGGAACTGAAATTTTCAATTGAAAAGACATTACTTTCGGAAGTATGAGCCGTTGAAATATCTATATTGGAAAACTCTGTTTCAGATCTCGAGAAATTTCTTTCCATGAGAATCCCACTAAATGAACTCTAATGAATTTTCTACTTCATTCAAACAACAGCTGAAAAAGGAATATGATTTATATTATTGTGGAGGCGGACAAGCCCGAGTAGTATTCCTGCATTTATAAACATAGAAGGAGTCGACTTAGATTAAATTTAATTTATGTTTAAAAAAACATTGAGGTAAGATGCATGTTACATATCAAGCGTAAAGATTTATATTTTGTTCACATCGTAATTGGTTTACTCTAGATACTAGCAATATAGTTCTCAACCTACTTTTTGGAAAGCAAATAGATGACGCAGATATTGTACTCTTTCCACAACGCGCTACAAACAAGAAAGTACAATATAGGAGCCAAGCCTGTGGATTATAAGCTAAATGGAAAATTGGAATTTTCAAAATTGACCACCTAATGTTAAGGTGACTTTTTGACCGCCACTTCCGTTGCTTGAACGTGAATAACAAAATAGCGTAACCGTTAACGAATCCAAAAGTTCAAAGCAATGTGAAATCAAGCTAGTTTAACTTTAAAGTGAATGGTTTGAACCCAGGAGTATCAGTAGTTGGTGCAGTGTGATCGTCCGGGTGAGCGTAGTTCTGAAAAGAACTGTTGTTGGTTACTGAAAGATCTTATAATGTTTTAACGAATCCATAAGTTCAACGAGTAGGACTGGGATGGAGCTTTATTTTTTTCACCATCATAACCAAAGTCATATTCAGTTTCATTACCACCATCTTCAACGAAAGAAGCAGCGGCAGTTTCTGTGATCCCAATCCCATGATCAGCACGTGCACAGTTCCATCCTCCCCCACCAATCATCATCACTGATCCATCCCCACTACCATTGTCACACCAGAAGCCGATTTTGTTGGCGCTTTGGATGTCTCCATTGCAATCAGCCTGTTGAAACCCGTCTGTTGAATTGTACTGTCCGCCATATTGAACCGTACAACTTCCCAGACACTTATCAATGGCCCAGGCCTTGCCATTTCTAAAATCGCCATAACTTGTGATTTTAGATCGGAACGTTTGTCCAGCCAAACAGTTACCTGTGGTCTGTAACAGAGGAGTGTGACTAGGGTCGTCACTACGCGTGATTTTTAATTCTCTGCCGCTGACCGACCAAAAGGCTGTTGAAATCATATCGTCGTTCACTAAAGGGTTATTTATCGCTCCAATGGCAATTTGCTGGTCATACCACCATCTACCATCGTCACGCATCCAATTTTTGCCATCGCTGTTTGAGAATCGAGCGATAAGAGTCCAGCCTGTAGTGAAAAAACAGTTCTCATATTTTCTGTTTTTTGATTATTATTATTATTATTATAGTGCATGGACATTTTAATTTTATTTCTACGTCTTTCTGGCATATGATGGGAATATTGTAGAGGATAGCTCTGTATTCTCTTTCTAACTTGAAACGAATTGTGCAATGTTCCCACCCTTCTTCTGTTTTTATCGTTGGTAAAAAAAAAAAATTATAATAAAAAATAAAAAATTTGCGGTGACCATAATGAAAAATATTAACCGTTAGCCGTAAAAACCATCACTACATTCAGACACTCTTTAAAGACCAACTTTTGAGCCAGAGGTAGATTGATATAACTACGGATTTAGGGCGCCGATTGCAATTTTCAGAGCCTCGCTTTCTAGTCTAATAGGAAAAAATGCGGGCGGGGGGCACTTTCTCGGTTTTACCACCTGATATCAACAATCGGCCAGAAAGTTTGGAAATGTGAAAAAGATAATGGTTCTTAGCTGTTGCAAAGCAATAATCCTATGTTTTATAAACCGTACATTTTCTTTTACTTTATCTTCTAGCTCCTTGTCAAATAAATCTTTGAAAGCCTTACACCAGAGGCCAAAAGCTGTCCGTATGAAAATGTTGTTTTTGGTCAGTGAGCGCAAGCTTATTTAAAAAAAGATGAAGTTATCAAAACTGGTGGAGAGGAATTAGTTATAGCCTAACTAATAAACCGTTTGCATTAACGTCACAAGGCCGGATGGAAGCACTGCACTCGTCCATATCTAAACATTAAACGAAATTAACTTGGGTCGGAATGAATTAAAGGGAGAATTTGGAAATATTCGACGAGGACAAGAAAGTGGTAAACAGCAAAGCTCTAAGTCATTCTCCGGTAATGGAAGAGAATTACGCCGTCAGTTAAGTTTGAAGCAGTGTTGTAAATGTACACTAAATTATGTCTCACCCGTTTCGCAATGTTCCCCTGTGTATCCTTTCGCGCAAATGCACACGTAACTGTTCTTCTCGTACTGTACCGCACATTTCCCATTGTTCTGACAAGGCCATTTGAAACATGGAGACTAAAGAAAATATATAACAATAAGAAAGAAAGGAGAAAGATGTGGCACCAATCATTTTAAATATCATCACGGACCCTGTTTACAATAGAGTCTGTATATCTCTATATAAACCTTCCCCGCTAATACCCAAAAATTCTTTGTTAAGTCTTCCGCTTAAATAACCCCTCTCCCAATTTCTGCAATTAACCACACTGTCCTCCTTCCACTGAGGAGAAACTTCAAAAGAAAAACATAGAGCTCAAATGTTACTGTTATCAGATTGGATCAGTTAGCCTTAAGCGTATTATTGAAAAAGCTAAAAAAGAAAAAACTTCCACAATAAATTGTCTGTAATTCCTTTCCTTTTCCTTTCACAAAAAGAGAGTCAACGCTTTTCATGTCCGACTCACTGCGATACTATAGTGATGGTGACTCTGACTAGGGACAAGGTTGTCTGAGTTGTTGTACAAATCCGATGGAAGTTATTCACACAGAACTTTGCCATTGATATCATGAAATGCAGCCAGGTTTAAACTTAAAACACGACTGAATGTTGACACAAGCAAATCCACCCTCGCTGTCCTTTCCAACCTGGAGCGGTTCCAGGATGTACTGAACGGGGGTTCGGGTAAACGTCTGCTGAAGGGAGCCTATCCAAGGGGTCGGGGGCATGCTTTCACCAGAGTATTTTGAAATCTAGATCGTCGGAAAGGTGATATATCCAGGTTTTTTGAGCCGATGATTGTGGTTCGTTAATGCCATTGAAAAAAATCTCTGTTTTGAACTATTTTAAATTTTTATGTCCATCAAACTCGTCAGAAACTGCGCGTGATGAAATGTTTTTCATTTCATTGTAGGGTGTTCGGCCGAACCCCCCGAAACAATCCTGGATCTGCTCTAGAGTGGGCAACTACTTTAGGCCTTTGTTGAGAAAAAAGCAAGGCGCATTTTAACTTGGTTTGGCGAGTGGCTCACAACTGAGACAGGGTTGATGTTTACCTTTGTTTACATTAACGTGATTGTTCGTAAACGAATCCGAAGTGTTCTTTCCACACACAAACGCTGATAAACGTTCTTGTCAAGTGTTTTCATACACGCGTGTACATTCTGTTTAAAAAAATAAACTCTTCCAATATCGTTTGCGTGTGAGAGAAAGGCCTCGACACTTAAACAAAAAAGGATTAAGAACGTAAACGTAAGCCTGTGGAGCATATGCCAAGGGATTCAGAATCAGGCAGCGACAGATGTTTCATTGCTCCAGTGTAATAGTTTATCCTACAACTCATAATCAAGAGAAAGACTAACTTTAACGGAGGTTTACTAACCGTGAGATTAAACAACTGTGCAAAGATGAATCCACGCATAGGTAGAAGGGAAGAGGTATCATCTCCAGCACCTACTATTCCTTCATCGTTTAGTTCACAAATCATGGTTCTTTCTTGTTCCTTGTAATTCACTGAGAGGCAAAGAGGACGGCTTCTCAGGCAGAGATGGACGCAGGATAAAACGCTGGACGCCTTCTGACGATCTATGACATGACCGGTTAGGTAATAATCTTCCACAATTTGAATGAAGGATGATCGGCCCTGTAGAGCTGATGATGAACTGTACACTGTCTGCAGCTTGTCCACAATGCTTTCCTCTCGACCGAATAAAAGTACGAGAAGATGATTGGGAAAGAAACCGTTCGACGTTTGATTATGACGGACGTCAAAAATGCAAATAGATGTCAAAAATGCAAATTCATATGTCTTTTTTTGTGTGCACCCTGCCTTCGTCAACGGTAGAACCAAATGGAAACTTTTCGTGTCAAAGATGCATTTTATGTGCTTCGATGTTGGTTGGATAACCACCTGCTGGTGATTGACTGAAACATTGCCTGCTGATAGCAGTGCATATTTTTCTCCGTTGGTTGAGGGTTTTGCAAGAAAAGCAAGGATTTTACCAAACGCGGAAGGGAAGGGGCATTTGAAATTGGAAGACGCATTTGTGGAGAATTGTTAAAATTGTTATTGTTAAATGTTATTTGGCTTTGTTAGGAAAATAAATTATTTATAGCGCGATTGTCCATGCCGCCCGTTTATTTTTTGCCCATGAATAGGGTTAAGGACACGTGTAATGAAAAAATAGTTTAGTTCTTCTCCAATTCTCTTTTTTGCGTCACCACATGCCAAAAATGATTTTTGATCAGAGGAGAAGGGTCTCCTCGGATCACGCTGGTGTTAAAAATATGTCAGCTGAAGTTTCCATATTAATTTTTTGTCTGTGAACTAACTGAAATTAACACTTTCGATCGCTGTCCACGCGGGTTGTCTAGCCATAAATTTTAATTAAGCAAATTATAACAAACTGAAAGGAACTTGCCAACTTTGATCTTCTCTACACTGTGCGTAGTTTATGGCCTGTGTTTCAAAGAAAATTATCGAGAAGGCGCCTTCCGATCACCTGTGGTTACTTTGTAAGCCACGCAAGCGTGCAAGTGTTACGACCGATCACGTTTACGCAATGCTCTCGGTCAATTTTCTTGATGAGCATAGACAGGATGCCTACTCTTGTTGAAAAGTCTGAATTATTGATCAGTTCGAAGTACATTAACATCTTTAATCAGGAGTCAGTCTAAAACGCTTTACGTACCACTGGAAGCCTGCGGTAGAAAAACTATTTCACTAATACATGGAAATGGTTCCTTGAAAGTTCGAGGAGTCCAAACTGCATTTTAAAGTTGAAGTTGTAAGTGTTTTTTACCAGGCCACTGAAATTTCATTAGTTCCCTGGTATTTGAATTAAGCAATTTTATAGAAAATTGAAATGAACTTGCCAAAGTGTAAAACAAATGGTAAAATTCTAAGGGCTAAATAAAACTTTTTTGTCGTAAATTTATGTACGCCTAGACTGAAATTTGTTTATATCATTTAATTAGCATATACAAGAGGTCTTCTCCTGTTGAAAACTTTGAATTATTGATTAGTAAGAGGTATATTAATATTTTTAATCAGTATTCAGTCTAAAACGCTTTACGTACCATGAGAAGTATGCAGTAAACTAGCTATTTTCATTAGTGCATGGAAATAGTTCTTTAAAAGTTCAGGGAGTCCAAACTGCATTTTGAAGTAGAAGTTATATGCTACCTTCATCAGGCCACCGAAATCTGATCAGTTTCCCGGCATTTGAATTAAACAATTTTATAACAAACTCTAAAGAACTTGCATAAGCGTAAAACGATATGTTAAAATTCTAAAGGCTAATTGTTATTTGTTGTAACAGATCACATATCAATTGATAACCTGTTGTATAGTTATATATATTTAGACTGAAATGTGTCTTTATCATTTAACTTGTACATACAGGAAGCCTCACTGAAAACTTTGAATTATTGATCAGTAAGAAGTATATTAATTTTTTATCTCCTTCACATAGTTTTTAGGTGTTTAAATTTCAATATCTTATCAAAGTATCTAAAACAGTCGAATTATATTACACCAAGGTAGTTTAGTGTTATCGAATAATTTTTAAAACGTAAATTGGCCACCGTAAAGAGTTTAAAGGCTGACGTTTCGAGCGTTAGCCGTTTTTCAGGGCCCAACGTCCATCGCTCTGACGAAGGGCTAACGCTCGAAACGTCAGCCTTTAAACTCTTTACGGTGGTCAAATTACGTTTTCAAATCAGTTGGTAACACTAAATGACCCTGTTATACTCTCCCACCGACGCAGCACCACAGTTTCTTTAGAAACATACCCCCTTTATATTACACCACGCCTGTTTTTCTCTGCCATCTTGTATTTGTAAACTGACAAAATCTAACATCAGACGTGACTTCAGAAAATCAACCAGTTAGAGCTGGCAAGTTTTCACGAAAATATTTTTCTTATACTCTTTATGAGGACAATAACAAAGAGAAAATTCAGCAAAGGGATCGATGAAACAAATTTGTCGTCATGGATTCTTCAACATTATGAGTGTTCTTAAGATACCTGTCACTTAATTTTTCCTAGAAGTTTATATCCTTCAAACTTACTGACTCTTTTTCGGGACAAAACAGTTGCAGCACTTTTCAAGAAACATACAATTTTGGAGCAGATGCACGGAGAATCAAAATTTCACTCATACTCCTCGACCTATTTTTCCTTTCCTTTCTTCCTCCTCTTATATTTTGCTATTATTCTCAGAAACATTATCTATATCATTGCTCTCTCCATAAAGTTGTTAATCATCTCATGATAGGACTCCGCTTTTGATGAACAAGTTAATTTGTGTCTTGGTAACAATTTTCAGCATTTCACCCAAGACACAAGCTCAAACTTTTTCCCTCACTCCGGTATTTTCGAGGAAAAAAAATGATCTTTACTGCATTCTGAAGAAGGTGTGAAAGAATGCCATTGGAATACGAAGGAGATGGCAGCTTTTAGCCTAACATTGCCAAAAATGAACCGAAAATATAGTTCATCTGGAAGGTTTGAATGCTATTCTAGCAAAAAATATCCAGTTTACTATATAACTAGTAACATAAAAATAATTATATCACCTTGGTCTGCAACAGCCCGGCAATGAAACCATGATGAGAATAGAACAGACGCAAAACCAAAGGGAAGCACCGTGAAAAGGAAGCATTGATCTTTAAAATACATCGTATACAACTGAAATATATACAGCGACAGACTGTTCGTTAACTGCTGACGATTTTAGGATGTTGTGCGACTAGACATCAAGGTTTTGGGTCCTAATTCAACGACCATTAGAAGACCACTGCCCTCGTTTGTTTCTGTAACGCAAAGCAGTAAATTTTTAATGTTATTTGGCTTTTTTAGCATAATAAATTATTGAAAGCGTGATTGTTTATGCCGCTTAGGATAGATCAGTTAACAACCCATGCTCACGATTTTGAAATGTGATCGTTTGGCATATGTTTTTTTTTTTCGTTCGAGAAACATTCAGGCGGAATTCCGAGTTAATTATCTAGTTTCTCTTCCAAATAACCAGTTCTAGAGGTAGTTAACGCCAAAAAAGATTACATGGATTCGTTATTTTCTGCGATATTACCCGTTTATACCAATGGAATGAGACGAGGTGTTCTCCTGAAATGAAAAATTAAACAAGCTTGTTTATTGGCAGAAAATTCTATAGAGACGTAGCATTTGTGCGTTTTGTTGTTAATATCCAACGTTTTATATGTATTGTTATAAAACAAACAGATAAGGAGCAGTATTGGTCCTGCAGGTATCGATTTAGCGGGTGAAATGTAAACCTTGATTTCATTTTTAACTTTTCCCATGTTTCAAATGCAAGTGTTTCCCGTTTTTTCCTCTTCTTTTTGTGGTCTCTTGTTTGTCCATAAGCCTTTACACGTGGATACTAATATCTAGTAGTTTTGCATACCGGAACTGAAATTTTCAATTGAAAAGACACTACTTTCGGAAGTATAAGCCGTTGACTTGTCCATATTGGAAAACTCTGTTTCAGATCTCGAGAAATTTCTTTCCATGAGAATCCCACTAAATGAACTCTAATGAATTTTCTACTACATTCAAACAACAGCTAAAAAGGAATATGATTTACATTATTGTGGAGGCGGACAAGCCCGGGTAGTATTCCTGCATTTATAAAGATAGAAGGAGTCCACTTAGATTAAATTTAATTTATGATTAAAAAAACATTGAGGTAAGATGCATGTTACATATCAAGCGTAAATATTTATATTTTGTTCACATCGTGATTGGTTTACTCTAGATACTAGCAATATAGTTCTCAATCTACTTTTTGGAAGACAAACAGATGACGCAGATATTGTACTCTTTCCACAACGCGCTACAAACAAGAAAGTACAATATACGGGGCCAGGCAAAGAAAAATCTGAAAAAAGTCTGCCATGTCGGATGACGTCACCGAGTCTCAGCAGCGAAATTTGCATACGAATCCCATGATATTAACAACATCTTGTGGACGACATAAGGCCATCTATTAAAGGTAAAAACTTTTCAAAATATTGCAATGTAACGAAAACGCATGGCAGGGTTCCAACTAACCCCTTCCACTCCCCTTGTACCACAGTGAGGGTATAAGTTTTTATTTACGTTTTGAAAATTAAACTTGAATAATAAGGTGACAAGAAATAAGCAACATCTTTCTTTTCAGCGGTCTTCAGTTCTGAACCAAGTTTGTAAAAGAAAGATCTTATAATGTTTTAACGGATCCATAAGTTCAACGAGTAGGATTGAGATGGAACTTTATTTGTTGCACCATCATAACCAAAGTCATATTCAGTTTCACTACCACCATCTTCAACGAAAGAAGCAGCGTCAGTTTCTGTGATCCCAATCCCATGATCAGCACGTGCACAGCTACGTCCTCCTCCTCCAATCATCATCACTGATCCATCCCCACTACTCCAGTCACACCAGAAGCCGATCTTGTCAGCACTTTGGATGCTTCCACTGCAATCAGCCTGTTGAAACCCGTCTGTTGACTTGTACTGTCCGCCATATTGAACCGTACAACTTCCCAGACACCGATTACTGGCCCAGACCTTGCCATTTCTAAAGTCGCCATAACTTGTGATTTTAGATCGGAATGTTTGTCCACCCAAACAGTTACCTGTGGTCTGTAACAGAGGAGTGTGACTGGGGTCGTCACTGCGCGTGATCTTAAATTCGCTTCCTCTGACCAACCAAAATGCTGGTGAGATCATGTCAGTGTTTATAAAGGGACTCTCTGTCTTTCCAGTGGCAACTTGACGGTCGTACCACCAATGGCCAGTGTCAGCCATCCAGTTCTTGACGTCATTATTTGAAAAGCGGGCAATAATAGTCCAGCCTCTACCGTCTGTTGTCAATTCGCAGTAGACCTACAGTAAAAAAAAAAATGAGTGCTTCACTGATATCGAACCGTGAAAAAATGCATTGTTTCATGTCTTAAAAATATACATTTTAACAATTTAAATATTTTGTTACAAGAACATTAAAAAAGATGGTAAGTCATGAGCTCGGTGAAGAAATAGAGAAACATCTTTTTTCGTCTTGTCACAAGCGTGGGAAAAAGAAAATTTCTGAGTCCCCATGAGGAATCGAACCTCAGACGTTCGGATCCCGCGCTCCGATGCTCAACCAGAGACACTATGATTAGCAAGGCCTATTAAGAAGTTCCTATATGACATGCGTTCTGCAGACCTCTAGGGTCATCAATGTCTTGAGCGTCATGTTTTTTAACATGTCATTGAACTTCGTAATGGGCCTTACTCACCATAGAGTCTCTGTTGCTCTCTGTCTCTTTGCATCATAGTTCTCGTCTGAAAGTTTCCAGTTGTTGCGTGAATGCAGCCTCGAATCGTTACTTTAGTTGGAGATTTAACTATTCTTATCAAGGTTGCTGACCGGCATGGCTGCATTGCCGTTATTTAGGGAAAGAATATATATTACATTTTTCTTCGGTTTAGACTTACAGGAAAGGCTTGTTGAGTGTTTTTATCGCATACGTGGTACATCGCGGCAGTTTCGCGAGAGGGTCCGTGAAAACAAGAGGAAGAGTTCACATTGTGCTTCATTAGTTAACTTTTGACCTTTTTATGTTCGTGGAGCGATTTTGTTGTTGTTGCAAAATAATTTGTTTAAAAAGGGTTGATATGTAACGGCCAGGTGTAAGATAATTCAACATTAGCCAACATCAAGACGCCTACGAGGTCCTTCAAAGTGCCAAAGAGAAACCAGGTTAGATGAGAATCTGACCATGCGCGAGAAACCTTTTTTAGCCATGTCAACGAAATGCGTAAAGCATTCTTAGAAAACGGTCTCCACTCTCTTTGCATCATAGTTCTTACTTGGAAGTTTCCAGTTATTGCGTGAATACAGCCTTGAACCGTTATTTCATTTGAAGATTTATCTTTTCTAATCAAGTTTGCTGACTGCCTCGACTGCATTGCCGTTGTTTTGAGAGAGGAATACGTACTATATTTAATACGGTTCAGACTTACAGGAAAGGCTGCTTGAGTGTTTTTAGCTCGTAGGTAGTACATCCCATCAGTTTTGCGAGAAGGTCCATGCTGAACTAGGTCACAAGAACTATCTAAAGACGCAACATAAAACTTCAAGAACTTTCAAGTCAAACTGTTTAAATACATTTTTAAACAGCTTGCGTTTTTCGATTAAAATTAAAAAGACTGTGCTTATCATTTTAAGACTTTTGCCAAACATTTTCTTGTCTAGTTTGTAAAAAAAAAAATTATAAAAAAAAACGTAGAGAGGAAATGTGTTTTGGATGTACAGTTGAAAAGTAATAACTGTTATAATACCCATTAATTTCGTAGCAATCACTGTGGTTACTGTTTCCGTTAACCCAAAGCTGTTTGTGGCTCGACAGATGTAGTCTTCTTCACCATGTGCTTTTGCAGTATTTACTGCGAGACATCCGTCTTCCTGGAAAAACGGAGAGAACAAAGTGGACCTTTGATGCCTAGTCCATTCAACTTTAGGACGAGGGGAACCTGTGGCCACGCAGCAGAGGCTGACAGTTGTTGCTTGTTCTACAACGACCTTCGGTGGAGGTTTGTTAGTAAACTGTGGTATCTCTAAACAAAAAGAAGATCATCAAGTTAACAAACAAAATAGGAGACCACGAATAATCTCAGATATATGCAGTTTGCGTAGGTTTTTGAAAATTGAAAATTTTGTCGCGCGTAGATTATCAATTTGAAGGAAAAGCAATAGGAAAAAGTAAACGTCTCTGGTGCAAAAAGAATTACACTCGGTATTATTAAAAGTTCCTTTTTTCTTCACTTTCCTCTAATAGATGATAAAATCACATGAAAAATGAAATAATGTCGCAAGGATCAGATTGGGTAGTAGTATTCGATTGAGACATTTTTACATTCCCTTCAGTTTTATTCTTTGTCTTGTGCGTCAGGAAAGGTGACTCAGGCTATGACACATGACTTGAGAGTAGCAGTTGCTGACTCCTTCAATTTTCGAATGCAAGGTTGGAAAGTATTTAAAGTTAAAGATCCTACCTTTTACGAGTAAACTGCCTGCGATTCTGAAAATTCCTAGACCGGTATGAGCTGCACACATATACGACCCCACATGTGACCTTTGAACGCTGTTAATTCGAAGTGCACCATCTTTCACGGTAGCATCAGATAGGGTACCTCCAAGCTTACGCCATGTTATTTTGGAGGACGTCTGGCCTTGAACCCAACAGAAGAATATTGCTGTCTCGTTGATAAAGACTTCCTGAGATAATGGATACACAATGATCTTCGGTGGAACAACACATTCTCCCTTTGGTCCCTGAATACCAACCAATCCTCTGATACCTTTGTTCCCTTTTAAGCCAATAGATCCTTTTTGTCCGTGACGACCCTTCGCTCCAGTATCTCCTTTAATTCCAGGAGCTCCAACAGACCCTTTGTCGCCTTTGTCGCCCTTTACTCCTTGAGGTCCTACGGGTCCTCTTTTGCCACCCACACCTGGAGCCCCAATAGGCCCCGATGGGCCTGGTGGTCCTACCTTTCCAGAGGCCCCTTTTTCTCCCTTATATCCGGGATACCCAAGGGCTCCTGGCGGTCCCGGAGGTCCTGCCTGGCATATTCTGTCTGAGGAGTTACAAACTTCAATGAACTTGTTGTTTATTTCTTGGCGGATTTGTTGTAAAGTTACAGTTCCTGCCGTTGGATTTGGAGCAATATTTCTTTTCTCTCTTTTGCGATGATCCGCTGGATGTTTTCTCATAACACTTTCGAAATCTTTGTATGAAAAAAGTGGAAAAAAAATGGTCAAGAGTTTTAAATATTTTTAGAAAAAAAAAATATTTATCCTGGGGTGCGGGAGCTTCACTATTTGTTTTAAAACAATTTAATTCTGCATTAAACATCATCGTCTTTAATGCAAAAAGACCATTTGGTAAGTCACAAAGGACAAATCTCTTGGCCAGTCATTATTGGTCGCGAGGGGTTGGGATCGGGGGATTTTGTGGGAATCACGTGGTTTTCATCGGGAACAGAGGGGAGGATCAGTGGTCACTAACAGAATGTAAAGGGGGGCTGTAGAAAATTGACGGTCATACATCTATGCAAATTAAGCGTCCACCATGTTGGTGCCCACCTCAGGTGTGCAAATATATTGCCATCTCTACAGTGCCCTCTCTCAAATACTTTGTTTTATGAATATTTCTGGTGAAAAAAATCCAGAATCACAAGAGAATATTCTCCTTAGAATACCTGTGCTTTCGAACTATGCGGAAGGCCTAGAAAGCCACATTCGAGAGCGATAACTTAAGAAACTTTTTGGTGATTGGTGTCGATCCAGTAGCCATTCCAAGCAGAACGTCTGCCGTCGATAGAAGTCTCGCACCTTCTTTCTTATTTTGTTCTGGAGACAAGTTATTCCTGACAAATAAGCAATTTAAAACATTCAAAAGTCTTGAAGCTTACAACCAAATAGTGTCTGCCTTCGTAACATCAGTTCAAGGAGTAGAGATTGTAAACAAGATTGTTGTTGTAGCGAAGGTGAGACATTCGCAGCGGATGAACGATCCCCTTGAAGGCATTTGGATTATCGCAAAAAGGGATACACAAATATACGAATATAGTATGTGAAACATAGGAAATGTTCCACAATCATAACGCACGATCCGAACGCACTACTTAGGGGAAATGCTTGGCTTAATCCTTAAAGAAAATTCGTTGTAATTCAATGAGGAGAACTTCCTCCAAACACATGGAACCACTAAGGGTACGAAAATGGCAGTGTCATTGACCAATATTTTCATGGCGGAAATTGAAACGAAATTAATTCAACAAGGTAAAATCAAGCCAAGAGAATGGAAACGTTACATCGATGACATTTTCTCCCTTTGGGATTGCGACAGAAAAGTGCTGGATCGGTTTATTAAGACGAGCAAACTATCTCGACCATACTTTCAAATTCACGGCCGAAATATCAGAGAACCAAATCACTTTTCTCAATACGACAGTGTTTAAAGGGGAAAGATTTGCAAAAGATTCCATCTTGGACATCAAAACCCATTACAAGCCGACCGAGACCTTAATTCCAATTTACGTACTTCGCCTCGTGCCACCCACCAGGCGTAAAACATGATTTCATTAAAGGCGAAGCAATAAGATTGCTTAGAACTAACTCTTCGAAAAAACATTTGAAGAGGGCCGTTTGAAATTCAAACAACGCCTCAAAGCAAGAGGGTACCCAGAAAACATCATAGAAAGGTCTCTTTCAGGGATCAACTTTGCCTCTTGACAATCGGCCCTTAAACATACACAAAAGCCGAAAGGTCACGAACGTTTATTGGCTTTTGTCATAAAGTACCACCCGGCAGTTAAAAATTTAAAACAAATATTGATGGAGCATTTGAGTCTGATACACAATAAGCCCTTGCTGAAAAAAAATCTTACAAAACCTCCGATCATCTCTCACCAAAGAGAAATTCCTTTAAGACATGCTTGTGAGAGCAAAAATGTAATTTCAAGGAGATAATGCGACGCAACTTCGAAGACCACCCAGGGAGTCCATGCCGGTCTGTCTTTATCTTTTTTCTTACATCGTGTCGCCGCGACTTATCGATTGTATCCAGTTCTCTCTCCTCTCTGTTTTCAATTCTTCTTCGAAGGAAGACTAACTTTTAACAACTGATGGTATTCGATAAAATCCAATTCCTTTGTCCTGATCAGTTCTGGTGCCACAGCCGAAAACTACACAAAGAATCATTTCTACTTTTTCACTTTCACCTAACTACAAGCGCATTTGTAACTATTTGCTTGAGCACCAACATGGCGGATAGCAACCGCCGTCAAGACAAAAGTAACTTGGGTGAAAACCAAGAATAAGGGAGAAAGTTAAAATACTAAAGAGCCCGAAACAACCATAAACCTCCGACCTTACCCCCTCCCCCCCTAGACGATAAAATATGACTGGTTCCTTAAGATGTGTGATTTGGAAATCATATATCTAAGCATTAACGAACTTTGTTCAACATTAAGCAGCCTAATCATACCTTTTTAAATTAATTTTCTTATTTCATCGGATCATAACCAATTAGAACAATCCTCTCTGAATATTTCGTACAGGACCATTAAAACTTTCCCATTTCAATGATAGTTGAGATAATTTTATCAAGTCATGTTTCCGCATAAACCGTCAAAGGTTATGCAATGTTATATTTTAGTCATAATAATATCCTTTCTTTACATGAAAAAGAGAAGCATCACAAGCAACTGTTACATCTTGCCAACCTGAACTTGACTTTTAGTATTTTAAGTTTGCATATTGTTTTTTGTAGTCTTAAGGTATGTGGGTTGAGATTATGAACCCGTTGTGCAACAAATACTGACCTAATCATCTTGCCAAAATGATATGGGTTTTTCGCATGACTACAGCCTATCATGATCTCCATCATATCGAAAAGTTCATGGTCAGTTCTCATCAAACATCTGGAGCTCATAAATAAACACCAGGTCAATTAAGTCGGTTTTGCCATTTTCGTCATTTCCTATTCTTCCCTCTAGGGAATCGAATTGTAGAAGCTAAATAATTCATATCATACTTCAAATTAACGTCGTTTGGATCAAAGTAAATAGTTTTGTATTTGCAAGTACCTGTAAACGTTTTCAGCTTGTCCTCGACGTTTTTGTCTGCTTCATTTTTCGTCTTCATGCGACTTTCAACAGCTAAAATACGCACTTCATTGATTTGCGTTCGCTTGTTGATCATCTCCATCCTCAGGAACAGCGCAACAATCATTAGAGTTGAAATAAAAGAAAGAACCGATGAGCTCTTTTGAAAGACGTCGTCTGTCCTTTTTCTGTGAGCTCTCTCTGTAGAGTCCATTGTAGCTTTTCGGGACTTTCGGGCTCTTCTACTGAACAACGTTTATAATAAACGTGTAAGAAAACTGACGTACTTGTTTTCTTCCCCTGAAGATTTGCACTTCCCGAGTGACTGAAGTGGCTAAAGTTTCCTGTTTATCTTATTCCTCTGTCACGAATGCGTTACTTGTAAACGTAATACGCTTAGGATTGGAGACCGGAAATCTGTCTGTTGACCTCAAATTGACTAGAGTTGCATAATGTGGGTTTCACCTAAGGTGTTCTCTTATTTTCAATTTCTCATGTGGAGTCATAAGGAGTTGTTTTATCAACCTCATGGACGTTTGGACTCTTGCTCTGAGAAAACACAATTACTACCGCACTTCATTTTAGACTAGAAGCGGCGAGTTAACATGTCAAAATATATTATGTTAGTTTCACGTTTCCCTTAAACGCTATTTTTTTCACCGTGGAAGCTGGAACCGGGACTGATACAATCTTTACTTCCGGTGTTCTCAGTCCTTTAGTCGACAAACGACTCAGTTTTGCGGAGATCTTCTTCCACCAGGACATTGCAAAATTGAAAATAGACTAAACCATTGACCGAGCTGGAAAAAAATCAGTCTTAGAGACCTCGCGCGTCTGACTCTGATAATTCTTCTTTCAAAAAACCTCAGTGAAATTATGCTGACTTGTAGTGCTACTTTAACACAAAGAACAAAAACAATGCTCGTTTTTTATGCCAAAAAATAGGCTAACACAATTTATAAGGGCCTAGCTTAGATGGACCAAAGAGGAGATTGATAAGGTTCTTTAGTGAGACTATAAAAAATGTACCAGACCCTCCTGGAACTGAGGTTTAACAATGAATATTTTTGTCATGGTAAATGAAATTAAAATGAACAAGATTTGGAATGGAGAAATGATATTTATAATGAAAATGGTTTTTTGCAATCTCTTACCTAAGACTTCATCCTCTCAACCTCTTCTACCTTTTATTTTTATGGTGGAATAAGGGATCGTTTACCACGGATTTTTATCAAAACAGCAATGTGTTTATCTAATTACCCATTTATTTCTTTATGCTCATTCAATTAAACAATAAGTGTATGATAAGGTTTCACCAATTCATCACTACACAATCAATGACAAATACTTCAGATCTCCTCAACAAGTTCAGTAATGAGTCTGTTAAAACAATTCTAATGAAAATGACTTTCAAGGAAAAAGAACTTAACTGCAATTCGTTGCCAATGAAGATCTTTTCCCTTTCGTAGCTTTGCTTTGAGAGGGAAAAGATGCGATGTTAGTGACCATTTTTAAATGCTCAAATAACTTGGATCACAGGGTGAAAATAAATAATTAATACCGTCCTCTCCACGGTTCTTTTTAGCAGATAATTTTTAACAGATCCACAAGTTCAACGACTAAGACTGGGATTGACTGTCATGTGTTTGAGCATCATAACCAAAGTCATATTTAAAAGGTGAAGAGATATTATATCATAACAAGTAAAGTGTGGTTTAAGGGTTAATGTAAACAACGAGAGAATTAACGGTTTTAATTTTTAAAGTGAAATACAGTTAACCTATAAACTATTTTCTGAGTCTTATTTTCTATTTTTTGTCAAGTTCGAAAGCTACTGCTGTTTTAAAAAGGCAAAATTTATAATATAAAAAACGATAAATCTAAAACAAGTCTGCCATGTTGGTTGACGTCGGCGAATCACAACAGCGCGATTTGCATATGTATCCCATGATATCAACAGCATCTCGTAGACGAAGGCTATCTATTAAAGGTAAAAGCGTTTAAAAATATTGCAACGTAAATTAAACGCACGGGAGACTTCCAACCAATCCCTCTTTCCCCCCCTTGTACAACGGTGGAGGTTTAAGTTTTCATGTACGTTTGACAATGAAACTAGGATAATAAAGTGACAAGAAATGAACATTATCCTTTTCAACGTTCTTCAGTTCTAAACTTAGTTTGAAAAAGAAAGATCGTATAATTTTCAACGGATCCATAAGTTCAACGAGTAGGACTGGTTTGGAGGGGTGTGTGAGAAGGCATTATAACCAAAGTCGTACTCAGTTTGATTACCACCACGTTCAACGAAAGAAGCAGCGCCAATTTCTGTGATCCCAATCCCATGATCAGCACGTGCACAGCTATTTCCTCCTCCACCAATCATCATCACTGCTCCATCCCCACCCCAGTCACACCAGAAGCCAATCTTGTTAGCGCTTTGGATGTTTCCAACGCACTCAGCCTGTTGGAACCCGTCTGTTGACTTGTACTGTCCGCCATATTGAACCGTACAACTTCCCAGACACTGATCACTGGCCCAGACCTTGCCATTTCTAAAGTCGCCATAACTTGTGATTTTAGATCGAAATGTTTGTCCACCCAAACAGTTACCTGTGGTCTGTAACAGAGGGATGTGGCTGAGGTCGTCACTGCGCGTGATCTTTATTTCTCTGCCGCTGACCGACCAAAAGGCTGTTGAAATCATATCGTCGTTCTTTGAAGAGTTGTTTGTCACTCCAATGGCAATTTGTTGGTCATACCACCATCTACCATCGTCACGCATCCAATTTTTACCATCGCTGTTTGAGAATCGAGCGATAAGAGTCCAGCCTGTAGTGAAAAAACAGTTCTCATATTTTCTGTTTTTTGATTATTATTATTATTATAGTGCATGGACATTTTAATTTTATTTGTACGTCTTTCTGGCATATGATGGGAATATTGTAGAGGATAGCTCTGCATTTTCTTTCTAACTTGAAACGAATTGTGCAATGTTTCCACCTTTCTTCTGTTTTTATTGGTGGTAAAAAAAAAAAAAAAATTAAAAAAATAAAAAATTTGCGGTGACCATAATGAAAAATATTAACCGTTAGCCGTAAAAACCATCGCTACATTGAGACAATATTTTACGGGCCAGATAAGGGCCAGATGGAAGCACTGCACTCGTCAATATCTGAACATTAAAAGAAATTAACTCGGAAGTGAATTAACGGCACAATTTGGAAATATTCGATAAAAACAAGAAAGCGGTAAACAACTAAACTTTGATTCACTCTCAGAGAATTACACCTTCAGTTAAGTTTGAAGCAGTCTCAGTGTAAATGTACACTAAATTGTATCTCACCCGTTTCACAATGTTCCCCTGTGTATCCTTTCGCGCAAACGCACACGTAACTGTTCTTCTCGTACAGTGCCATACATTTCCCATTGTTCTGACAAGGCCGTTTGAAACATGTAGACTAGAGAAAACGCATAACAATGAGAAAGAAACGAGAAAGATGTGGCATTCAGTCGACCAACACAAGCCGCCAATCATTTTCTATTTTCTATTTTTACAAATAGAGTCAGTATCTTTAAGTAAACTTTCCCCGCTAATAATAAAATTTCTTTGTAAGTCTTCCGGTCAGATAACCTCTCTACCTACTTCTGCAATTAACCACAGTGTCCTCCTTCCACTAAGAAGAAACTTCAAAAGAAAAACACATGGCCTAAATTATACCGATGCCAGATCGAACCAGTTAGCGTTTAGGCGTATTATTAAAAAAAATAATAAAAAAACCGCTATAAGCAGTTGTCTGTAATTCCTCTCATTTCCTTTCACAAAAAGAGAGTGAACTTTTTTTCATTTCCAACTTACTGCGATGCTATAGTGATGGTGCCTCTGACTTGGGACAAGCTTGTCTGAGTTGTTGTACAGATCCGATAGAAGTAATTCACACAGAACTTTGCCATGGATATCGTGAAATGCAGCCAGGTTAAACGAAAAACACGATGGAATGTTGACACAAGCAAATCCACACTCGCTGCCCTTTCCAACATAATCCGAGCCAATAGCAGTGACGTTGATGTAGGAAAACTTGTGGGCCTCAAATTTGGCATAAGCTATTCCTTCAGCTGTACCTCGGCTGAGAGGTTTACCCCGCACATCGACGACTTTTGTTTCTAGAAATGAAGAAAGGAATGATAAATGATTACTTAAACTTTAACTCCCACAATCTTATTAGTAATTCTTCTTACTGTTTGCCATACAGTTCTTGTGATGTTAGTTTGGAGAATTTGGTATTGGGTCAATCTATAATCCCCTAATTGATATTTTTCTTTATTCTCATCACTTTTCTGCTTGATATTGCATTGATATTGTAAGGAGAAATTCTGTCTTGGTCACATGCACATGGAAGTTAAAGGGTTAAAGTATTTTGCTCATTCACGATATTTAATCAGGAGTCAGTCTTAAACGCTTTACGTGCCATAAGAAGCATGCTGTAGAAAAACTATTTCACGAGTACGTGAAAATAGTTCCTTGAAAGTTCAAGGAGTCCAAACTGCATTTCAAAGTCGAAGTTATATGCTATCTTCCCCTCGTCACCGAATTTGATCAGTTCCCTGACATTTGAATTAGGCAATTTTATAACAAATTGAAATGAACTTGCCAAAGTGTAAAACGATGTGATAACATTCTAAGGGCTAATTATTATTTGTTTGGTAAAAGATAAGATATCAATTGAAAACCTGTCGTAAATCTATGTATACCTAGACTGAAATTTTTCTATATCATTTCACTGCCGCTCTCGCTAAGAGCGGTCGTTTCGACTTCCCGTCAATTAAAAAAAAGTTTCGTTTATTTTTTGTCCATGAATAGGGTTTAGGACACATGTAATGAAAAAATAGTTTAGTTCTTCTCCAACTCTCTTTTTTGCGTCACCACATGCAAAAATGATTTTTGATCGGAGGAGAAGGGTGTCTTCGGATCACGCTGGTGTGAAAGATATTTCAGCTGAAGTTTCCATATTAATTTTTTGTCTGTGAACTAACTGAATTTTACACTTTCGATCGCTGTCCACACGGGTGGTCTAGCCATGAATTTGAATTAAGCAATTTTATAAGAAATCGAAAGGAACTTGCCAATTTTGATCTTCTCCACACTGTGCGTAGTTTATGACCTGTGTTTCAAGGAAAATTATCGAGAAGGCGCCTTCCGATCACTTTCGTTTACTTTGTAAGCCACGCAAGCGCGTAAGTGTTGCGACCGATCACGTTTACACAATGCTTTCGGTCAATTTTATTGATGAGCATAGACAGGATGCCTACTCTTGTTGAAAACTCTGAATTATTGATCAGTCCGAAGTATATTAACATTTTTAATCAGGAGTCAGTCTAAGACGCTTTACGTACCATGAGAATGCGGTAGAAAAACTGTTTCACTAGTACATGGAAATGGTTCCTTGAAAGTTCGAGGAGTCCAAACTGCATTTTAAAGTCGAAGTTGTAAGTGTTTTTCACCAGGCCACTGAAATTTCATTAGTTCCCTGGTATTTGAATGAAGCAATTTTATGGCAAATTGAAATGAACTTGCCAAAGTGTAAAACAAATGGTAAAATTCTAAGGGCTAAATATCATTTTTTTTGTCGTAAATTTATGTACACCTAGACTGAAATTTGTTTATATTATTTAATTAGCATATACAGGAGGTCTTCTCTTGTTGAAAACTTTGAATTATTGATTAGTAAGAGGTATATTAATATTTTTAATCAGTATTCAGTCTAAAACGCTTTACGTACCATGAGAAGTATGCAGTAAAATAGATATTTTCACTAGTGCATGGAAATAGTTCCTTGAAAGTTCAGGGAGTCCAAACTGCATTTTGAAGTGGAAGTTATATGCTACCTTCATCAGACCACCGTGATCAGTTTCCCGGCATTTGAATTAAACAATTTTATAACAAACTCTAAAGAACTTGCATAAGCGTAAAACGATATGTTAAAATTCTAAAGGCCTTTTATTATTTGTTGTAACAGATCACATATCAATTGATAACCTGTTGTATAGTTATATATATTTAGACTGAAATTCGTCTTGCACATACAGGAAGCCTCACTGAAAACTTTGAATTATTGATCAGTAAGAAGTATATTAATTTTTTTTCTCCTTCACATAGTTTTTAGATGTTTAAATTTCGATATCTTATCAAAGTATCTAAAACAGTCGAATTACACCAAGGTAGTTTAGTGTTATTGATTGATTTCAAAACGTAAATTGGCCACCGTAAAGAGTTTAGAGGCTGACGTTTCGAGCGTTAGCTCTTTTTCAGCGCCCCTTGTCCATCGCTCTGAAGAAGGGCTGACGCTCGAAACGGCAGTCTTTAAACTCTTTACGGTGGCCAATTTACGTTTTCAACTCAGTTGATAACACTAAATTACCCTGTTACACTCTCTCACCGACGCAGCACCACAGTTTCTTTAGAGAATTACCTCCTTTATATTATACCAAGCCTGTTTTTCTCTGCTATCTTGCATTTGTAAACTGACAAAATCTAACATCATACGTGACTTCCGAAAATAAACCAGTTAGAGCTGGCTAGCTTTCACGAAAAGATATTTCTTATACTCTTTATGAGAACAATAACAATAAGAAAATTCAGCAAAGGGATCGATGAAACAGATTTATCGTCATGGATTCTTCAACATTATGAGTGTTATTAAGATGCTCCTTTCTTAATTTTCAGTAGAAGTTGATTTCTTTCAAACTTATTGTCTCTTTGTCGGGTCGAAACAGTTGTAGCACTTTTCAAGAACATGCAACTTTGAATCAAATGTATGGATAATCCAAATTTTCACTCATGCTCCTCTACTCCTTTTTTCCTTTTCTTTCTTCCTCCTCTTATATTTTTCTGTTATTCTCAGAAACATTATCTATATCAATGCTCTCTCCATAAAGTTGTTAACCATCTCATGATAGGACTCTGCTGTATTGTGATGAACAGTTAATGCGTGTTTTGGTAACAATTTTAAGCATTACCAAAAATGAACCGAAAATATAGTTCATCTAAAAGCTTTGAATGCTATTCCAGCAAAAATATCCAGTTTACTATATAACTAGTAACATGATAATAATTATATCACCTTCGTCTGCAACAGCCCGGCAATGAAACCATGTGAACAAAAGAACAGACGTAAAACCAAAGGGAAGCATCGTGAAAATGAGGCCTTGTTCTTTAAAATACATCGCATACGACTGAAATATATACAGCGACAGAATATTCGCACACTGCTGAGGATTTTAGGATGTTGCGCGACTGGACATCAAGGTTGTGGGTCCTAATTCGACGACTATTACAGGACCACCGCCCTCGTTTGTTTCTGCAGCGCAAAGCAATAAATTTTTAAAGCTATTTGGCGTTTCTAGTGAAATAAATTATTTATAGCGTGATTGTCTATGCCGCTTAAGATAGATCAGATATCCCCACGCTCATGACTTTGAAAGGTGATTTGTTTGTTTCTGTAACGCAGAACAGTAAATTTTTAATGTTATTTGGCTTTTTAGCATAACAAATTATTTAAAGCGTGGTTGTCCATGACGCTTAGGATAGATCAGTTAACAACCCACGCTAATGATTTTGAAAGGTGATTGTTTAGCATGTTTTTTTTTTCCCGAGAAACATTCAGGCGCAATTCCGAACATCTTTCTTGTTAAGTTCCACTCTCGCTAATAGCAGTCTTCTCGACTTCCCATCGGGCCAAAAATGTTTCTCATATTTTTTGCTCCAGAACAGAGTTTAGGACATTTATTTAAAAAGTTGTTTGGTTGTTCTCCAATTCTCTTCCTCTACGTTGCCACAAGCCAAAATTGATTTTTGGTTAGACCACCCCTGTGGACAGCGATCGGAAGCGTAAATTTCACAGATTTTGTCCAGCGCGCAGCGACTGTAATAATATAGCTCACGGAATTCTGTCTTGCTACAAGTTACAAGATGTATTCAGTTAGTTCACAGACAAAATATGGAAACTTCAGCTGAAACATTTTTCATACCAGCGTGATCGGAGGAGACCCTTTTCTTCGACCTTAATTTGCATATAAAAAACTTACCATTTTGTACTAAAGAATTCTCAAAATACAGGCGTTAATCGGGATAAAAAAGCATATCAGTGCATAGTTTATAAACCAACAAAGTCACCAATTGCCTCAAACCCGCGGGTATATCTATAGCTTCCATCCACCAATATCTTAAAAACAACGCATATCCATGTACTTACTCACCTACGATCATGTCAAAGACATTTGCATAATTCTGAACATTGAGCAAGATCTCCTTTTGACCGTTCAAAATTTTTTTTTTTATCTTCTACGTTGAGGATTTTAGGATTTGATAACAATTGAACGGAGAATGGATGCCGAGTTGTCCTCGAACGTTGCGTAAGCGTGATCAGTCGTAACGCTTGCACGCTTGCGTGACTTACAAAGCAAACAGAGGTGATCAGAAGGCGCCTCCTCGATAATTTTCGTTGAAATATCAGGTCATGAACTACGCACAGTGTGGAGAAGATCGAAATTAAAGCATAAAATTTGGCACACCGGTCATTACAGACATATTGCGTTGCTTAAAAGGACACATAAACACGTTAAAAATGTATATAAACTCTGAAGGAGTTCTGGCAGTTTCTTCCGAGATTTAGCACACTTAACGCAATGGACGAGCCCTCCTTTCAGCCAATCTGTTTTCATCATTAATGGTTTTACGCTGTTATGGACCACAACGGTTTTGAGCGACAAACCCAAAACTTCCTTGCGAGCATCTAAATCTACTGGATAAACCCAGCTTAATGTATTGCGTGACGTGCTGTGCAAATTTTTCGCTTGTCATATGACCTGTTCCGCGGGTTCTTAAAGTGAAACCGAAATTAGTTAATGTAACGAATTAGAATCGAAAGTCATTATAGTGGACTGATGAATTTTACATTTTCAAAGTGAAACACAGTAAACCCTTAGCCTAATTTTCTATTTTCCAGCCAAGTTCGATAGCTTCTGTTAGCTTGAAAACCCCCAAAACATATCAAACTCATAGGGTATAAATAGTCTTAACATGAATGTAGTGACCACGCCCACTTCAACACCCCACTCAAATCGAGTGTAATTTTCGAATGTTTTACCATCGTGCGGATTCTCTACGGAAAAAGCATTCAATGTACCTCTGAAATATTAAACTATAAAATTGTGGCTTTCTATTTCGCTAATTTTCTAACTTGAAGGTAAAGTTTTTCCCTCGTCATTTTTACCTTTTCTCGGAGCGGTTGCGTGAAATTAACAAGGCGTTTTTGATCAAAACACGACCAAGCGAAGGGTCTCGGGCGATATCTCTTTTACGCAGGCGCAAACTAAAAATGTACCGTCAGAATCAAAAAGAGGAACAAATTTCCTTTGTTTTGATATGTAAAGTGTCGAACAAAAAGCAGATTTACGCTCGTCAAATCGCGTTTCAAAACAG